GTATATAAGACATGTTAACTTGATTGCATCTTTAGGTACCATTTGATAGATGAAGGTTAACATAGCTAATAATAATTTCCTCAGAACACTCTATTTCTTAAAATAAATATTCGTCTGCTTCCAGATTTTTCGAATCGTCCTGAATTTTTTTTAAAAAAGTAATGATAAAATGAATTGATTAGTTTACTTTAGTCGATTTTATGATCTTGCAAGTAATAAAGCACTTTTTCATGGTACTTAAGTCTAAATAATTATGTGTGATAATGCAGGCAGAAACATATGGGTATTCGACATAAATCAAAAAATAAAACCAAATTCATAATGAGCGAATTACAAAACCTTTTACTTTGTGTTGCTAAAACATTCATACTAACAAACCTAAATAAAAAAAGGAAGAAAACATGACACATAGTTTCTGAAAGAAATTAATGTTGTTTCCTCGAAGATTGTTATCACGTGATTTCGGAACTGTTGAAAAGATAGAGNAAAAAAAAAAAAAAAAAAAAAAAAAAAAAAAAAAAAAATTGAAGCAGCCCTGGGAGATTTGATCCAATAGGTAAAGAAGTTATGAAAGTATTTTTGAGGTAACAAAAATGGGAAAAGTTGTGATAAAGGGTAAAAATCGTGTCGATTATATTGAAGCCCGAGGTGTCTTTCAAGAGATAAGGCAATTCTTTAAAGACGGTGGTTTGTTAGTTGTGCGAATAGTTTGCAAGAATAAAAAGGTAAGAAAAATATGCATGCCGAAAAGTTTTCTTTGACTTTTGTCAAAGACAGAGATTTTCTCAAATAGCAGAGGGAATATTTTTTTTCCTTAAAAAAAAAAAAAAAAAAGATAGATATACTTCCTATTTCATATTTTGTTTTTGAGCATATTTATTTACTTTTTAGTTCATCTTTTCCTAGAATAGAGTATATATATATATATATATATATATATATATACACACACCATCAAACAGCTTTTAAACTGTCACACCCTTGTTCTTTCTTTGCTTTTTTTAAGCTAAAGTAAGAAATAACAAAAGAAGTATATTTTGTATTTTCTTAGCAAAAATAAACGTGTACTACCACTAATTTTTATAGAAGTGTTCTTTACATATCGATCACGTTATTTTGAACGGTCATTAATCCGTTACTAAAATAAAACACAAATTTAAAAAAACATTTTTTCAAAGTTGACTTTAAAAAAAAAAAAAATTATTCCATTTTTTCTCAGATATAAAACGAATCATGAAAGTGATTCCCACTAAACTTTTTCTTTACAACGAGAAAAACTTGTTTCTTGATTAAATTTGTTTTGAAAATACGTTCTATTTTTGTTTTGTAGTTTGTATTTATGTCGGAGAGTTGTCAAAACTTTGATAAGAAATAGAATGTTGATAAATTTTGATGCTTCACCATTCATAAAATAATTATAACTTGTGTTGGCTTGAGGCTTTTAGAGCTGCACTTGAAGTTTTAGTTCTCTAGCTAAAAGGAAAGTGACCGAAATTTCTATTCATCATAACTTTCCTTTAGAGATAATGAGGCTAAAAATTCAGCTTGAAATGGTCAAGATACGATCGAAACTTTTATTGTCATTTGCCACCGAACTCCAGCTATTCGGTATGAAGTCGAAATTTAGATTCATGATAAATTTCCTGATAGCCTTACATATACCAATGTCCTCAAAAAACTAAAAAGCTGTTTAAAATATCTAAAAAGAAATATTCGAAAACTCACCTCTTAACCTTTCTAATTATTATTTTCTTTTTAAAATTATCTCTGCGTAATGTATCTACCACTACAAAAACACAATTCCAACTCACTAGTACATAAGAGTTGTTAACTCGTTTCTAAGTTGCGGTACCTTTCATAGATGAATGTTGACATAGTTGATATGATTTTCCCCACACTCTGTTCTGAGAATATTTAAGTAGGAATATCACCACACTCTTTTCTGAGAATATTAAAGTAGAAATTTCCCCACAATCTGTTCTGAGAATATTAAAGTAGAAATTTCCCCACAATCTGTTCTGAGAATATTTAAGGAGGAATATCCTCACACTCTGTTCTGAGAATATTAGTAGTGTGACAAGCTTTCCTCTTTCCCCCACTACAGCGCCTCTGGCGGTGAACTAAGACAGTCTGCCAGGAACCGCTGTAAAGTACGGACGTTTAATTCGAGTCCAAAATCCCCGCTTCCAAATTCTTGTATTTTTTTATTCTTGTTTTATTTTATATGTGTTTTATCCCTTTCAATAAATATTTAGAGTTAGATTATTTCTGGCCTTTCATTATTTATGTGAATTGGTAAAAATACAAATAAACCAAGACTTCCCCTACAGTAGGAATTTCCCCACAATCTGTTCTGAGAATATTTAAGGAGGAATATCCTCACACTCTGTTCTGAGAATATTTAAGTAGGAATATCCCTACAATCTGTTCTGAGAATATTAAAGTAGATTGTTGTTGTTGTTAATTTAGGTCGCACTAAAGCTGCACAATGGGCTATTGGCGACGGTCTGGGAAACATCCCGGAGGATGATCCGAGGACATGCCATCACAATTTTGATCCTCTGCGGAGGGGATGGCATTCCCGCTTCGGTAGCCCGACGAACTGCGCGCGAAGTCGAGCACTTTACGGTAGCACAGTTTAACGAGGACCACTACCGCACACCCTCGGTCCCTACGCAGACTGATCCAAGCGGTCACCCACCCACCCGCACACTGACCGTAGCCAGTGATGCCTGACTTCGGTGATCTGCTGGAAACCGTGTCTTAACGATCAGTCCACTGCGGGACAATATTAAAGTAGAAATATCCCCATACTCTGTTCTGAGAATATTAAAGTAGGAATTTCCCCACACTCTGTTCTGAGAATATTAAAGAAGAAAGCTGAAGCAATGAGTTTTTATAGTTAGTAAAAGTAGGCACTTTATTTACGTCGCACTTGAACTGCTTAATGGGCTATTAGCGACGGTGTGGGAAACATCACTGCGGACAATCCGAAGACATGCCATCGCAAGTTTAATCGTCTGTAGAGGGGATGGCTCCCTTGCTCTGGTAGCCCGACGACCTACGTGCGATGTCGAGCACTTTACGGGAGAACGGATCGATACCGCACATCCACGGACCCTACACAGGCTGATCAAATTGGTCGCTCACCCGCTTATTGACAGCATCCAGTGATGCTTGACTTCAGTGTTCTACTGGGAACCGTGTCTTTGCGATCAGTCCACTGCGGGACGCAGATTGTAAAGAAATTTTACTACCATATTTTGAAGACGCTGGTCAACGTAGCCATTCATCCAATTTGTTGTGGTCTAGGAAATAATTGAAAATTCAATTTGTCTTCAAAATCAAAACTTCAACTGTTCGAAAAGAAGGTCAGAATTTTGACGAACGACAAATACTTTTTGCTGATAATAAAGTTAGAGGTTTTTCCTGTAGCCGTCAGGAAACTATTGAAATCAGACAAGGCGAGCTGTAATATATTGAGAAAAAAAGTATGATAAGGACTGCTGGAATATGATAAAATTTACCGTGTTTCTGTCTCAATGGAAACACCAAAAAGCTCGATAATTTTGACCGAAGAGCTTTGGTAATGATTTTAGTAAAATTTATAATAAAATATGGTTTTATAATAAGCGATAAAACTTGGTAAATGTTGTAAAAATTGATAATTTTAACATGATAATTTTATCATAGCATAAGAGCCATATGTTCTATTTAATTTACTTTTCAGTTTTGTATTTTGAATACTAAATGAGTGATAATAAACATTATAATTTCAATAACTAAAATTTCCGATAAACCGTTACAATATTAATTAAAAATGGCTAAATTAATATTACCAGAATTGAAATTTTTTTACCCCGATTTCACGCCATTTCCCTTCGTGTGCTTTTTACATTACAAAGCAATATATATATATATATAAACATAAAAAGCTTCAATTAATCTTTTTATGTTATTCCTTTTCTAAATATCCTAATTATTATTCAAAATCGAAACACTTTCTCACACTTTTAAATTCACATCCTGTCTTTTAAATCTATTTTTGGCTCAAGTATGCATTATTTAAAAGCAAGATATTTTTCCCTTTGCTTTCTGTGGGATTCGCGCGACCTATTTAGTAAACCAATTACAATTACTAAGATTTTCCTTATTCTTTAAAACGAAGCATGTTACGGATTTACTTCGCAAGATTTTTCCCTAACTTATAATGAAGAACACAACATTTCGTGACCACTTTTATAGCTGTTCTCAGTCTAGTCTAATAATTAATAAATACATTTTGTACCCTCCTTCTCTGCCTAAGACCTGCATTATGTATGCATGTATGTATGCATATATATATATATATATATACATACANTCACAGTAATATATATACACCGAAGAGCTATTACATTATGACCACCCTGCTAATAACATGTTGGGCCACCTTTAGCCCTCAAAACTGCTAGCACCCGCCGTGGCATTGATTCCACAAGGTGCTGAGGTAGTCTGAGGTATCTGGTACCAAGCGCTCACCAACTGGTCCTGCAATTCTCTCACATTGCGAGGGGGTAGCGTGGCAGCACGAATTTTGTCTTTCAAGTAGGACCACAAATGCTCTATTGGATTAAGGTCAGGTGAATTTGGGGGCCAAGACATGACTTGAAAGTCACTGGAATGTTCCTCAACATTCGACCCTTATGACATAGTGCATTATCCTGTTGGTAAACACCATTTTCCGCAGGAAAAACTGTTGCCATGAACGGGTGACCTGGTCTCAACTATGTTCAAGTCGCTTACAGACGTTAGGGATTGTTCTATGAGGATTATGGGTCCTAATGTGCCCCATGAAAACATTGTTCCTGGGCGAGAAACCATGAAAACCTGGGCGAGCCCATTGTTATAGATGGAGGGTGGTCATAATGTAATGGCTCTTCGGTATATATAAGCATTGCAGCTAAGGTTTTATAAGAGAATACTTAATAATTTTAAAATAATGAAAGGCACCTATGAGGGCATTTTTATTATCAAAGAAACATAATTTCAGTAAAAAAAGAAGCAATAATCAAAATCCATACAGAAGTTTTTCTTGATATATTTGTAAATATCTAAACATTAGGAATAATTTTCGACACAGTTTTTTAATCACATATCTTCTTTTTCCGGGAAGTAAATGTAAACATTATGTATCAATGAATCAATTGGGGGTGTCACAACAAATGGAACATTTTAATCTGCCAAATTACTGCATTCAACAGCCAACCATAATAGTACCATTCCGTAGTAAGACTGTAACTAAATCCTAAAAAATAAAAAGGCTTCGTCAACGACTTACTAAGCAGCCTGTGCGCAAACAGAACATCCAAAGGATGGGGAGATTTCTCTTAAAGATCCGGCCAATAAACCCTTCAAAATTATAAAAATCAAACACATAAATGACAAGTTCACAAAATTTAAAATTTTTTTTGTTTTTTAAAGATCAGGGTGGACTTTTAAAAAAAAATCTTCGAGGAACGTGGGGTCTATCGTTGAATCGGGTCTTCAATCTAGGAGTCGTTAAAAAAAATGTTTGTCTTGCAAAATACGCGGAAGCTCAAAAAAAAGGTACTTTATAACTGTATTTTTTTTTTAAATATACAATATAAAACAGCGCGAAATAAATAAAGCAAGTTTACACGTATTGCTAAATATTTTAACGATAAATTTAATTTTTTAAGTGCAACAAATTTTTTATAGTATTTTTACTAAGGCTTTTTAAATACATTACAAAATATATCGTGTAAGCAATATAGAAGAAAATTCATGTATACTTAGGTAAAAAAAATTTAAAAAAATTTTTTTTACAGCAAAAACACTAATGAATCATTTAAAGCTTGTAATTAAGTTTGATTTTATATTAAAAGTAATAGTTAAATTGATATTTAAGATCAAATAATTTTTTTAATTAAATCTGAAGGGAAAGAAAAATGAGAGCAATTAAAAATCCCCCAGACAATTTTTTTCAGATATGTTTATCAAATTAAAACCGGCTGATGTTGACTCATTGCCAAATTACCTGCCTTCCATTTACAACTGAATATCCTTCTAGTTAGATCTCTGCAAACATTTGACTTTATCCAGAATAATAAAAGAAAAGGGAGATAGATGACAAATAGAATAATCTTTATGTATATATATAATAAATGTCCTCCCCCTTTTTTTAATCCTTTTTTTTATTCTTTTAATTTAACACGCATAAAAAAAGTGTACTTAGCGATTAAACTGAAGAAATTAAGCGTTTGTTGATGCGATGAATCAAACGATTTCTTTACGGGAAAAAAAATGGCTGACAAAAAATGTCGCTTGGATGAGCAATACGTTCCAAGGATTAGATTTATTTTAAGTAAACCAATGGTTGGGGAAAGAGAGGTTCATGTAAATAAAAGCGAATAAGTAAAACGAAACAGAAGAGACATGATTAGTAGGAACAATGGAATATTACAAACGAAATTAAAGAACATCACTAATATTCTAAACCAGTGATGGGCAAACTTTTTTTGGTCGAGGGTAAAAAACCGTTTGGTGGGCTAAGTAAAAACTTCTAAATTAAAAAAAACGATTTAAAAGTTTTAATTTAAATATTGAATGAAATTGCGATTTCAGTTTTGAAAGTTCCTTATATTGAGGTTCGGAGTGAGATGTACGTATTTTAAGGAACAAGGCTAAATGCTTGTCTGTTAGTCTACTTCTGAAATGATTTTTTCCTAAGGTTCGTAGTTGAAAACACTTGTTCACATTTATAAGATGAAGCAAACATAGCACCTGTTTTTTGAGCGTGAGAATCGAACAAAATTTGAATTGTGCAATTTTTAACTCTAATTGTGATGTCAAATTTTTATCAATGGCTTCGATTCTAGAAGTCACCGTTTTTCGAGATAAGTTTATAGCCTCAAAATTATTTTTCATGTATGGACATAAAACAACGCAAATTTGGAGCATACACTGTTTAACAAACTCTCCATCACCGAGAGTTTTATTATTTTTAGCAATATTGTATGCTACAATGTAACTTGCATGCGTGTAGGACCTACACTGTAAAAAATTCTGGATGGAATTACTGTATGAAGTACCGGCACTTTGGGTACATCATGAGTTAAATCCATTTTTACTATAAAGTATTGTAACGTAATTTTTACAGCAATATGTATTTAATTAGTGTGATTCAGTGATTTTACAGTAATTATTACCATAAAATTAATGAAATATCAGACTTTTTGTTGTGCATCTTGTTCCGAAGAAGAGGCACACTAAGTGACGGTATTAAGATTTCATGATCAACTCTGGCCTCATGATAGACATGGCTACAATACCTGTCTTTGCAGTTCGATGTGCAGCTCCAAGGGCTAACAGAAATTGATACTATTTTATTTTCAATATTTTAATTATAAATTTGAAAATACCTATCTAGGTACTAATACTAGGTAGTACAAAATCTGCTATGAAAAGTTTCTCACGTGATCCATACGCAGATTCTTCAGAAATTTGGCTCCACATCTAGGAATTCATCGCTTAAATTTTACAATTGAAGTTTTTGTTTAGATTAAGGTATTAACAGATTCGTTTTGAGCAAGTTGAGTTTTATTGAATGCTACTGTTGTGGAGATGGTAGCTATCGACAATGTCAACCTTCATCTATGATTTTTGTAGTGGTAGACGCACGACACTGTTAAAGCAAGGTTTTCGACTGTCTACGTAAAGCTGCTTTTAATCTTTATTCTACTAATTTTACTAAATTATTTATCAACAATAAAGTTGTTCTTGATAGACAGCAGTTTTGAACATCAAGAATGCTTCATTTTTGCTTTAATCATGTTAGACTCCTTTATTTTCATTTGTTCGGCAACCTTGATGAAACCTAGCATTACAAATAAGCTTTTTTTTTTTAAAAAAAACTATATTTTTTTTATTTATTCAGAAAACCTTTAGTTTTATGAGTTAAAGAAATGTATAAGTATTTTCAAAAGAATCAATGTAATATAAAAAAGAAAATGGATAAATATGACAACAGAAGCTAAAGTCTTCAGGGGGTACCAGTTCCGGAAGTCATAAGAGCAAAACCTTTTCTATCGAGAGAGCACGACAAAAGTCTAAAATTGCTCTCGAAAATTGAAATAAATATAAAACCTTTGGGGGTACCAAAGGTTTTATGTTTATTTCAATTTAGTTATGCCTCGCAGTCAGTAGGATAATTTGGTAAAAGGATTTTTGTTTCAAGCAAGCTCTTGTGCGTACTATTCTTATGTATTTGTTTTTATTCCTCTGTATTTGCTTTATGTATTTTATATTTTATATTGAATTCTCTTCCTGGACTTTGACAAAACCATTAGGGTACAGAGAGAACAATTTTAGACTTCTGTCGTGCTCTCTCGATAGAAAAGGCTTTGCTTTTATGACTTCCGGAGCTTGTACCCCCTGAAGACTTCAGCTTCGGTTGTCATATTTATCCGTTTTTTTCATATTTCATTGTTTATTTTGTTTAAATTTCTTTCGGATTCTCTGCTGCTTAGGGCGTTTTTCCATTGGAAGTATTATTTTCAATTGCTTTTAATTTTTTGAATTCTTTTTTTAATAAGTATTTTCAAAGCACTGCTTAATTTAATTTACACTATATACAATTTAAATATGCAAAATGCGAATTTTTCAAAAAATCCTTCAGAGGTGCCTCTCCTCAATAACATCTCAATAAATCTGCACATAGAATATCTGTGATTATTGTTACCGTTCTTGAATCATGTACACTCTCTTGGAACACCATATTAGAGAATAAAAAGTTTTTGTTTAGAAACACGGTGTTTTTAGAAGCATAAATAAATGTTCTAAAGGTCTCTTCGTTATTACGTTAATTACATTGTATATTGCACCGTAATAAAGATACGAAATGTAATGGAAGCATTTAAGATATAAGAATTAATAGTTGAGATATAATAGCGTATCCCACATCCGATTTTAGTGAAGCTTGGTTATTTTTTTGATTAATTTATTGTGTTCCTATATACAATTAGACATTCATTATTTTTAAAAATATATATATATACTGGTGTAAGAAATTAAAAGGATTTGCAGACTGCTTTGCTTTGTCTCTTCGTTATTACGTTAATTACATTGTATATTGCACCGTAATAAATATACGAAATGTAATGGAAGCATTTAAG